TGTCATTGTCTAAGATTAAAGTTGTTACTAAGTTAACAGAATAAAGCCATGGTATCTTCCTGAAAGTTCTAAAAGGTGAGAACCGTGAGACTAGTGACCAGAGTTGCAGGGACAGTGAAGAAAAATCACACTGCTTTCTACTTCTCTCCCAGAGTCCAAGTCATTCCATAAACACTAGTGAGACTTCAGAAATATTCCAGGAGATGAAGAAAAATGAATCCATTATATTTGGACCTTATGACTATTTTATGAAAAGTCAAAAGTGAGACTTTTTTTGTTCTTTGAAAGAATTGTGGCCCTCCCTGCCCTGAAGTCCAGAGTGGCTGAGCTCATCCAGAATGCAGGCTGGCCCAAGCACCTCTCAGCATGGTACCTGGGTGAGATTTTTTTTTTTAAACATATATCTGATATAGGATTTATATGCAGAATTTTATAAGCTCTTACAATGAAATAAACAAAAAAACCCAATTTACAATAACTGGGCAAAAGATTTAAACAGACAATTCACCAAAGAAAAATAGGGGTCAAATAGCACATGAATAGATGTGTAAAACACTTAGGTATTAGCTAAATAAAACTTTAATGAGACACCATCATGCATCCACTAGTATATGATTAACAAGAACAAGGACAACAGCAAAAATTACAACAAAGTCTAACAGTATAAAATACTACTTAAAACACCAAACTAAGTGAAATTTCATATGCTGCTGGTAGGAAAACAGCTTCTTAGAAGAAAATTGGTTGTTTCTTATAATGTTAACCCACATAGAACATAATAACCCAAAATGTGACTGCAAGGTACTTTTTTCCAGGATGACTGAGTGTATGGGTGAGATTTTAAACGAGTTTCCCAGGGTGCTTCTCTGTCTTCCTCTGGCAAAGATGGCTTGGCCAATCAGACCGTCGTTCCCTAAACAGCCTGCATGCTTTCTCACTATTTTTTAGCTCATCAGTCTCTGCGTTGTCACACAATCTTCGTTTTATTGGCGTTTTTAAAACTTGTGTTTTAGATTCAGAGGGTATACATGCGTGTTTGTTACATGGATATATTGCATAATGGTGAGGATTGGGCTTCTAGTATATCCGCCCCCCAAATATTGAACATTGTATTCAATAGGTAATATTTCAGCCGTAGTCTCCCTGCCACCCTTTTCCCTTTTCCCAGTGTCTATTATTTTCATCCTTATATTCATGTGTACCCATTGTTTAGCTCCCACTTAGAAGTGAGAACATGCAGCATTTAGTTTTCTGTTCCTGCATTAATCCGCTCAGGATAACAGCATCCAGCTCCACCTATATTACTGCAAAGGACATGATTTCATTCTTTTTAATGGCTGCATAAAATTCCGTGGTGTACGTATTAATATATTACATTTTCTTTAAACAATCAACCACTGATGGACAGTTAGGTTGGCTCATGACTTTGCCGTTGTGAATGGTGCGGCAATAAGCATACAAGTGCAGGTTTCTTTTTTACGAGTAAAATAAACCCAACATATCTAGAACATAAAAGTGAGTTCGAAAATCTGCAAATAATAAAGTGACCCCAAGAAGGATATTTACAAGATAGAGAAAGGACACAGAGGTGGAAGGTGGGTGGGTGGGAAAGGCGGTGCTAAGGCTCCCAGAGCAGGTGGCATCTGGATTTGAATGACAAACAGCCACAGGACTAAATGTTAGGATATAATACCGGGGGCTATGTTGTAGGCACTGTCCAAAATTGTTTACATGTATTAACTTATTTAATTCTCACAATTCAGGTACTTTTATTCATAGTCCCATTTTATAGATGATAACAATGAGACACTCGGGGTTTAAGAAACTTGTTCAAGGTGCCAAGCTGACAGAGCTGGTCTGCAGACTCAGGCTATCCCACTCTAACACCATTCTGCTAGAATGACAAGCAAGAGCTTGCTGGGCGGGTTAAGAGGGAACTCCAAGTGCAGAGGCACAGAGACCAGAGGCTACATGATGTTTCTGAGAAGTTGCATGCTGAGTGTCTCAGTAGTGATAAAATCCCCAGTTTGGGTGAAGGAAGAGGAGAGAGGACTGGCATGAGTTGCTGCCAGGTAAGCTGTAGGAGGAGATGGGGAGAGTGGCGTTTTAGAAAAGTCATTTGGCTCCTGGTTGAAGATTGGTGGGAGGTGACAAAACAGCCAGGGAGGCTCGTTAAGAAGCTTTTACAATACCCAGGTGAACAAGGCAAGGACTAAGATTGTGGTGGAACAGGAAAAAGGGTGATGAAGTTTTGTAGAGATTCAGGGGTAAGTTGGACAGATTTGATTAGTTGATGAAGGAGAAGAAGGGGCTTAAGATGGGTTTTCAGCTTACACTGCTGTTAATTAGGGGACGAAGAAAGGTTGACAGTGAGGATGTTGAACTCTGTTTGGAAGATGTCCAACTCTGTTGGGTATATGATGCTTAGTAACACTTAAGGGCACTGATAGAATAAATGAGTGTTGACCTTGGCAGAGTGTTTGCTGTAGACATACATAAGAATGGTTGTCAAGACTAGATCTACATAATCAGTATTCTTATTTAAAATCACAAAATTTAAGGCCAGGAGTGGTGGTCCTGTAGTCACAGGACTTTGGGAGGCTGAGGCAGGCAGATCCCTTGAATTCAGGAGTTCGAGACCAGCCTGGGCAACATGGCAAAACCCCGTCTCTGCAAAAAATACACAAATTAGCCAGGTGTGGTGTTATGTGCCTGTAGTCCCAGATACTTGGGAGGCAGAGGTGGAGGCAGAGGTGGGAGGATTGCTTCAGCCCAGGAAGCAGCAGTTGCAATGAGCTGATTACACCCCAGAACTCCAGCCTGTGTGATAGAGTGAGACCATATCTCTCTCTTTCTCTCTCATACACACACACACAAACACACACACACACAATAAACCTAAATAAAACAAAATCACAAAAATTTAAAAGCTAATATTGTCTTATGAGTATTCTCTCTTCACTCTTTTTAATTCTACCATATATTCACATATGATTTTTTATTCTGTGTAGACTATGCCAGTGCTATTCATAGCCACCTTCGTACATTCTTTTTAGTCTGCTGGTATTCATCATATTAGGACAACGTTAGCTTACAAATCTAACTCTTTTGAAATATAACATTAAATATATTAGCAGATATTACTAAGTTTTGCTTTATTTCCTGTATGTTGCATGTACCCAAATATATTAGTCACAAACACACAAAAAATCAAATGGCTTTTTTATAATTTCAAAAAATCCAAACTAAACTGTAAGTTTTGGATAGCAGTATTGAAAATGAGATTTTTAAATGCTAGAAGTAAGATGTCTGATTCTTCACTATCTGTGTAGCCTTGTGTTGATGTTTGTGCATTTGGATGAGCAAACACCTCCTCCAGTCATTACACACTGGTTTTGGTAGGTAAAGAATTTGGGGGGGTGGGTTCTGAGCTGATAAGATCGCCTCCAGGCTTGCAGTTGAGTAGGGTTGCAGCCGAGTTATGTGGCTGCTGCTGGGTCTACAGTGGGGAACAAGTTAGTGGGCTATTACTACAGATTTGAGCAGGCTTGGATCCTGTCTGGCCCCTGGAAAGAATAAACTACTTCCAGGACCTTGGTCTGTAGAGTTGGTGCCAGGTAAAGAATATGCTTCAGGCTTCACATTTGGGTTGGCAGATGGTGGGCCTGTTACCAGGTACACAGATGAATGTGTATTCCTTCAGGTCCCTTGGAGGGTTCCTGCTGGGCTGCTGAGTTGGTCCCTGGGCAAGGAGAATTGGCCATGGACCATGGCTGACAGGGCCTTGAATGGAATTACAGGGCTGCTTCATGGCTTACACTGAGACTGGGGTCTGCAGACATGCCTCCAGAGACACAGATAGGCATGCCTCCTGCTGGGCTCCTGGGCAAGCAGGACTGCTCCTGGACCATGGCTGAATGAGCTGGAACTGGGTCAAAGGGCTACTTGGTACTTCTCCATCAGACTGAGGTCAGTAGCCTGCATTGATGGGCTTTAGCTGGCAGATCTCTGGGTGGACAGGATGGCTTCTAAACCAAGGCTAGGAAGGGACAGAGCTAGGTTGCAGGGCCACCCCAGGATCCACAGTGGAATCAAGATTGATGGGCCTACCTTTGGGGTACTGACAGACATAGCTTTCAGCAAGCCCCTGGGTGGGCAAGACTGCTCTCAGACTGCAGCTGAGAGGGGATGGGGCTAAGTTAAAGGGCTGTTTCACGATCTGCTGTGAGACTGAGGTCAGCTGACTTGTTTCTGAGGGCACAAATCTGCATGACTCCCAGCAGGTGCCTGGGCAGGCAGGACTGGTCTCAAACTGCAGCTGAGAATGGGTTTAATTGAGTTACAGAGCTGATTCATGGTCCACACCTGAGACTGAGGACCATGGGCCTGTCACCAGGTTAACGTGATTCCTCCTGGATTTCTTGACAGATGGTTCTCGTGGCAGGACCAAGTCCAAACAGTGTTGTAGTCAAGTTCACAGGAGGATAAGGCCATTTCTGGGTCTGTAGCTGGGACTGTGGTCAGTGAGCCTGCAACCTGGGTGCAGCCTACCACTCAAAACAGCCCTCTTCAGTCTCAGGCTCCACCAGGGCTTTGGGATCTTCCATTCAGGGCCGAAATCTCCCCCCCAGGGCACTTTTGTCCATGGATGGCTGCCCAATTCTTGTTGAGTGGCAGTTCTCCTATTCTTCCATCTTGCTCTTTACTATTGTGATTTGCATGGCTGGTGGTTAGAGGAACTGATCATGCTTTGTGTTTTATAGAAGAACACATGCTACATAGTGCATGATACTTTTTAGCATATATTTCAATAAAAAGTTGCTTATTAAAATTGTATGCGAGTTATAAAAATAACATAACTTCACAAAACAGTAGCTTAAAAGATGAAATGTTTTCTAGTGGTGTCTAATTTTTGCTGAGTCTTTGATTTAGTGTTAGTGCCTAATTTTTAATGTCTAGTGTCTAATTAATTTTTAATGATGCTTTTTTTGTGTCCACAGCAATTCTTTGAGGTAGAAGAAGAGAAGGTTTCTTTGCAAGATGCGAGTAGTGTCAAAACAAATACTTTGTTAAGAAAACTGAAAGAGAAAGAAGACATTATTAAAGGATTAAAAGAAGAACTAGACCAATATGAAGATTTTGGATTTCATAAAATGGTAAGTTTCAAGGCAAGGAATAATTAATTTTAATATATGTAAATAAAGTCATAAATAGTTAAAAGCTTGGGTTAAGGGTAAATTAAAATCCAACTGATGCATCTGGGCATCTCTCCATAATATAAGCCAGTCTAACTATTTTCTGCTCAATGGTCTATTCTAGAAAACCCATAACAATATGAATAGGAGCAATATAATGGTTCTCATTTTTATTTATAATGGAAATAAAATAACCTACCTCCCACTGCAATGTCCTACTCTAGAAGAGCATGGGAATGGACTTTTATTGTAACCAAAAACTCCCACCCTTCTTTGCAGTCAAGGTAGTTTGAAAAACACAAAGCTAATCTTTCCAAGCCAGAGCTTCCAAGAAGCTAACCTGGAATGGAATGACATTTAAATAAAACTACCGAGAAGAAAACTCTCAGAGGATTTTCCCCTCAATTCTCCCTGTTGCAGTGGGAGCCAAGGGCTGCTTTACTGGTTAGACAAACTACTGATGGGAGCGAAAACGGAATGAGTGAGGAGGCGGAAAGAAGTTTAAGGGCTTTGGAAAGTGGGGATCCTGAGAGCGAATTCATTTTCATCTCATCTCTGCTCCACGCCACCAGCTGATTCAGGCCCAGCCATGGTTCAGAGCTGGAGAGGATTTTGTTATTAAGTTCTAAGAGCAAGAAGCCGGTTGTTTTGATTTTGAAAGGCTAACAGATGTTGGGACCCAGGAAGAAGAAAGTCTATTGATTACCAATAGCAGGCATCAGATGCTTCATTGACGGCATCTCTTCTCATTCTCACAGCTCAGTTTCCAGATGAAAACGCAGAGATGGGGTGGTTAAGAAGCTTCCCCATGGGCACACAGGTAGCAGGTGGTAAAGATGGTCTGTGAACCAAGGCTCACCTGAATCTAAAGTCCACTTACAGAGGGGGAGCTTTATCCTGTACAGTAAGAATTAAAGTTTGTAGTGAATATATAATATACATATGCATTAAGGCAATGTATACATTATAATGCATAGCTTATGTTATCATAACATATTATAATGTAATATAATGCATTAATAATTATTAATAGATTAATAACATAGAAATATTGACACATGCATACAGGAAAATCTGAAAAGTTATATGCCAAAACGTTAACACTAGAAAGAGACATGTATGAGTTGCTGATGCTTTTGAATACAATCCATGGTTTATCTAAATCTCTCACTAGTACTCTTATTTAAGACTTAAAGGTTATAAGAGATAATAAATCAAATGCAAACCATTCTATAGGATCATATTTAAACTGGTTTAAATGTCTACTTCGTTTAAGTGTTTGCTTTGTTAACCTATTAGAAATCTTTATATCTAGAAAAAAAAATTGAGCAATACAGTGTTAAGTGTCAATAGCATAAATCTAATAAAATTGAATATTAATTTTTTATATGTCTTGGACTAGGAAGCACATTCAGTTTTTGCATTTGCTTTTGAAAAACCTTTTCTTGGGTTTACAATTACTTTTACTTTTTGGAGAAAACAGTTTAATAGAAAAGATTAAAAACAGTAATAATTTGCTTTTAATCCTGCCTTGGTCTGAGACACCCAGTGTAGATGTGACAAGGTAATTTTGATTCACTTATTTGCCATTTGTGAAATGCAGCATGATACTCACCTGGCTAAGGTGGAGAGTTATGATAAGAGCACCTGCTGTGTTGAATGTAAATTGCTTTGAGTTCTTTGAAGAAATATTAGTGCATCAATTCAGTTATTATAAGGAAATGCACAAATCCTTATAACCATCAGTTTATATTTCATAAAATGTACCAAACAGACCTCTGGACTGTTGAGAACACCCCAATTGGGTAAGACAGTTAACTACACTCTTGACGAGTTTATACCTCTAACTATTCTCTTCAGGTGCTTACCTGGCTCAGCTGGACATTCTGGGGAAAGCATGAGGATGGGCTGTGGCTTTGTGAAGGGGGAGCAGATGGGAGCCACACAGGCTCATGTGTAAACAGGCTGCTGTTCTCTGGCTTCCAGTGGCCTCCGGAATACCCTGGTTATTCCACTGTAATTAGCCCCCAAAGAGCACATTCGAATTTCTGTAAACAACCTAAGATTTGAGGAAGGTGAGGTGATTCTGGTTAAGTGTATGGATTTCTACACTTAAATGAAAAGTCTATTCAAAATGCCAGGGTTGTATGAATTCAAAATACACGGGGTGTATGGATTTCTCCTAGGGATTCCAACAAAATGTAGGGCTCTGCTCTCCCCTCCTGACTGAGGGTGATGGAAAGCATACATGTGTCCCTTTCAAGAACACAAACGTGAATGCCACAAAGGCAGATAGTGGCTTATGTCAAATAATGAAAAATATTTGACATTTTTTTTTACATTCTCTAAGAACAGACTTTCCTAAAACCTCATGCTACTTAAGTTCTAGATGATCTTTGTTTATTTGAAATTTCAGCTAATTCAACTGCCCCCTCTAGTGGTATTTTAAAAACCCTTGGGACACCAAATCTGAAATTAGATTGGGAACACGGAATTTGGAGAAACAATTAAAAACTTCAAAAGTAGCACTGGAAGTTGAAGAAAAAATGAAATAAACAAGCTTTATTTAGTTTATCTAAAGGTATCTGGTTTACTCTTAGTGTATCAAATTACTTCAATAGCTTCATAGTTAATAAGTAGTTGTAATATTTCTCATCTCCAGATGGGAACATCCCGAATGTTGAACTTTCCCAAGAGCAACTTCATTCAAGGGATGAAATGTTCAGGTTTTATTCGGTGGGAAATCAATGTGACTCAGCTGCATACCATTGTAGTCATTGGGTTTCCATGCTGTCCGTTGGCTAATCCTCCTGAGAATTTATAAAGGAGGTTAGCCTCTCTCTCTCTCTCTCTCTCTCTCTCTCTCTCTCTCTCTCTCTCTCTCTCTCTCTCTCTCTCTCCTCTCTCTCTCTCTCTCTCTCTCTCTCTCTCTCTCTCCTCTCTCTCTCCTCTCTCTCTCTCTCTCTCTCTCTCTCTCCCCCCCTCCTCTCTCCTCTCTCCTCTCTCCCTCTCTCCCTCTCTCCCTCTCTCCCTCTCTCCCTCCTCCCTCCTCCCTCCTCCCTCCTCCCTCCTCCCTCCTCCCTCCTCCCTCCTCCCTCCTCTCTCTCCTCCCTCCCTCCCTCTCTCCCTCTCTCCTCTCTCCCCTCTCTCTCTCTCTCTCTCTCCCCCCCCGTGTTTTAATTTCAATTGAAGCTGGCATTTTGAATAGACTTTTCATTTTTCTTTCTTATCTCAACCCTGATGAGCCCTGCAACCATCACCCACTTACCTTCCATTGCTGAGCATATCTGCTTGTTGCTGACAGCTCTGAAACAGAGTTGTCATTCAAGAGTGGCAGCTCTGCAGGGTTGCACTGCCCAGAGTGCCACTTTCCTGGCTGTCACTCATTGGAAAAGCACCTGCTCTTCTCTGTGACTGTCATGAGGCATGGGCTCAGAACTCTACTCCTCCCCAGAAAATTGAAATGTCCAATTCAATGGAGCCCGTGGAAGGGAAACTGCTGAGAAGGCACAGAAAGTGCTCTGAACCAGGACTTCTCAGACCTTGCCACTCACATAAATCATCTGCAGATCTTGTTAGATGCAGACTCGGACACCGTAGCCCTGGGTTGGGACTGAGGGGCTGCATTTCCAATCAGTTCCCAGGTGATGCTGAGGCTCCTGGTCTATGGACTACGTTTAAGGAGCAAGGTTTCCAAGTACACGTGTTTTCAAAAATGATTCTTCTGAAATTCAGTTTGGGATTCAGTTTGCAATTCTACACATCTCGTGAATATTCACAAAAAATACAGCACATATGCCACCACTGAAGTCCTGGTTTTTATAATATGAAAGAAACTTGAGATTGGCAAGTTTCTTTGTAATTTTAAAATTTCAGAATGATCATGGGTCACACGCAATCTCTCTTACAGTGTGGTTTAAATGGCTACATCCAGTTAACCGCCTTTTAATTGGTCTCCATCCTTCCTAACCTCGTTTTATTAGTTCAGTTTATTTTTTTTTTAGGTCTCGTGGTTTAAGCAAGCAAAAACTAGCAGTGTGGGCAGATGGCAGAAGGAACACCACCACAAAACCTGCCACTCAGAGTGTAACAGAGGACCGTCAGCTCAGAACGATCCCTTTGTTCATTTTGCTAATGAGTGTCCTCATTGCTGTGGGCATCTGAATAGTTAATTACTTGCAGTTCCCACAGCTGACAGATGGTGGGGACAGAGCTAAGGGTTAACCTCAGAAGAAAAGGGGCTGTGGATTGATATGTGGAGGACAAACCCCGGATTTAATGTGTTTTCCTTGAGTCCTGCTTTCATACAAAGAGATTCTTAGAACCTGTGGTTAGGTATTAGCTGCTACCACTTGTAAATCTTACACTTCATCTGTTTAATTCAAACAGTTTTTCTTTAGTTGATGAGAATCGGGTGCTCATGTAATCCCCTGTGGATGTTCATATTCTGCCGCCGTTAGGAAAAGTATGCTTAAGCCTATTAAGGCCAGTATTGTTTGTTTCTTTCTTTCTTAAAAAAAAAAAGAAAAGAAAAAAACCCTTTTAATCTATAAATGCATTCTGTGAGGGGCTCAAATTGAACAATGTGGGACAAGAAATTAATGACTGGGATTCTTCCTTTATTAAGAAAACAGTGTTGTGTATTAACTACTTACTAGGTTTGTTAGCTCTCATAGTTAAGAATGAATTGGGCTCAAATAATTTAAATGAAATGGTGAATCAAAGTCATGAAGATTTGTAATTGAACCTAGTACAAAATTTAACAATACGTTTTAAATATTACAAACTCTTACACATACACACACACACACACATATACCATATGTAATTTTATTAGTAAGTTGCTTGTTTTAAAGGACTTATTAATGTACTACAAAAAATTTCAATCACTTCTGTTTCTTTAAAACTGTTACAGGGAAAATGTCTTAATTTACTTCCACGTATCCTTAAACTGAAATGAAAGTGTAGTTCTAAAGGAAATCAGTCTATTAAAAGAAACGATTTTGTTTTTGAGGGAAGATTTTGTTCTTATTTATTGCAATAATGAAATTACTGCAAAAAGAGTAAGTTATAATTCATTTGCAATGACCTTAAGTTCAAAGGTATTTTTAATGTCTATAGTAATTTTGAAACAAGGCATGTAGCTCCTGTCTCCTTTGGCATAATAATATAATGACTAATCTTTTGAGATTGTATGATCTGTTTAATATTATACCACAGTAAAGTATAAAGTTCTGCCCTAGCTTCCCCAATCCATTACATCTTAATTTTTTTTCAATGTGTGGCAGTAAAATCTAGACAACCATAAGGGAGTATATTCAGATATTTTCAATAGCTTTGAAACAGACAAGAAGAAGACGGCAAAAAAAAAAAAAAAAAAAAAAAGGAGTAGCTGTTCCAATAAGCACGTCTATTGCGTAAGAAAAAGCCTCTCCCATAATGGACATGGCAAGATTTAAACAAAAGACGCACATAATAAAAATGTAAATGAGTTTGCTTTACTAAAACTATAACTTTAAAGTCTTTTGTTGTAAGTTATCCTGAAACCTTCTTACAAGGTAATCACTGTTTGCATAGAGATTTAAACTGAAGTCTTCAATAGCATTACACGCCTGCACAGACCCCGTGTGACAAGCATGCAAAGCCATGTTAATGTTCAGAATATGAATTGCCTCTGGGTGGCTCCTCTACCAAGCAGAAAACCAACTGTGTGGATATCCGTGTGCCTGATGGACTCCATGCGGCTCCCAGCCTGAAAACGTCACCACTTTGACATGTGATGTGCTCCTCATGACACTGGCAGCACTGACACTGGGAAATGCCACAAAGGCAACAAGCCCCCCTCCTTAGCCATGCACTCTGCCACCCCCTGGCGCTGCCCGTCCTGGTCCCCTCAGCCTGCCTAGTTACAGGCGGACAGCACTTCAGACACACACAGAGGGAAGTGTGGGTGGAGGGGCCCCAGCTGCCTCCCCGGACACAGCCTCCATAATGAATTGACCTGAATGATGAGGGCACACAAACAGTATGATATGCATTATTCCTGTCAATAAAATGTCCCCATGTGTTGAGGTCTTTGTACAGAATGTACTGGAGCCTTTCTTCCAGCAAGCTCTATTTAGGCTCCTTCCTTTTTACTATTCGTATTATAAGTGTGTAATAGAATTCAGAAAATTATATGATAGCTTTTCTGTATCTGTATTGTCCTTGTCTTGCATATTTAAATCCTTGGCTCCCTGCTTAGGAATATGGCATTCCCCATCTTGCAGGAGTCTTTTGCCAAAGAAACCAGCTCTCCAAAACCAAACCTAGAAAAGGAAATTTTGGTGTACAAAGTGGAAAATGAGAGACTGCTTCAGATCATTTCAGACCTTGAAGAAGAAATCCAGATCAATCTAAAAGAAAATTCAGAATTAGGTAACATTTTGAAATCACTTTTAAGAAAAATCTACATATTGTTCACTTCCTAAAGCTCATAAGTATGTTCGTCTTTTCCAAACATACATTTGTTTGGTTATTTACATTTGAAAGATCAATTTCATAGCCGTCCTTGGTTCTCATGATGGATAGCATTTCTTGCTTGGGACGGAGGATGTGTTTGCAGTTCTGCTGTGAGCATGTCATGTTAACTCAGGGTGTTGTTTCAAGCCAGACATTGGCCTTTGCAAAAATTTGCTAATCAATGCTCCATTTCACTTAGAAATATTATAACCCGATAGAAACTTTTGCTGCTTTGTTTCAGATGCTTAACTGATTATCTAAACTTGATGACATTTAAGTACTTAAGAATACATAGGGATATGCTTTGTAGCAAAAAACAGAGTTAGCCCTTCAGGAAAATATGCTACTACTTACCAGTTATTTTGATTCTTGAACAAAACTTAAATATACAATTTCATTTGTATACTTTATACCCCTTTTCTTTCATACCATAAACGTTGGTGAAAGTTGTGTTTAAATCACCGAAGTTATCAGAACATATGGAAAAGGGAAAAAAATTCACCAAAGTTTATTGCTTTAATGTATTTTTTCATTTAACTGTCATTCATGTGATTATCTTCATTATATGATGTTTTCCTTAATCTACAGTATTCAAAGGAATGAGCAGGCAATATAATGAATTGTAGCAAAATATCAATAAAATGAGATATATTCATAGTATCCCTTGGATATGAAATTCTACCATGCCAGTACGGTCTCGTTCTCTTCTGCTGTGGCATAGTGAGGCTTTTTAGTCTGGGGTCGTTCTTATTAAGTCATAAACTGCCACCTGCTAAAGCTCTTTGTATCAGCTGTGACTAACAGCAAAAATGTCCATCGCTAGTATTGATGAAAAGCTTCCAGCCCTCAGCCACACTTGGATCTTGAACTTACTTCTTGATCCCTATCTGACCAGCCATCTGAACAGCAGGAAGAAGGCTGTGAGTGTCAAGGGCAGTTGTGAAGGTCACAGTCCTGCTAGGCCTTGTGTCCACCATGCCTGCAAGTGGCCCACAGCCTGCCCTGAGGCGGGCCGTTTGAATACAGGGGCATAAGCGTGTAATTTCATGGTTGGCCTCTCTCTCCTTTTGTTTACAGAAGATGAACTTATAAGTATGAAAGAGATGGCAGAAAAGGATTACAAAACTATTCAAAAGGTACTGTAACATTTTTATGTTGATAAATGACTCTTTTAAATGGAACTATAGGCACAATTGGCCAAATAACACTGTCTGGAGTGTCTTATCACAGACAGGAAAGTGGATTCATACATTTAATCTCTCCCTACTATTTGGGCAGGGTGACTAGAAGCAAATAAGGACTCCATCTTGAAAACCCATGGATGTATAGATACTTCTTTTGTTAGGGATCACTGACCATCTGCCTTGTTGATTTTAAGGCACCAAAAAGTTACATGACACAGGGAAGTCTGAAGATGAGCTTGCAGTTATGGAAAAAATTATATTGAGAACGAACAGTCTTATTTTCAGATCAGATGCTGGTTGATGTTCATGAATGAGCTGGGCGTATGTTATCTGGTACATATTTAGAGCAGGAAATTCTTTTGGCAGAACAAAAACCAAGCTTTCCTAGGTGGGGCTCAATGACTCACACCTATAATCCTATCAGCTTTGGAGGCCAAGGTGGGAGGATCTCCTGAGCCCAGTTCAAAGTCAGCCTGGAAAACATAGTGAGACCCCGCCTCTATAAAAATAAAAAAATTAGCCAGGTGTAGTGGTGCACATCTATAGTCCCAGCTACTCAGGAGGCTGAAGTAGGAGGATTCCTTAGGCTCAGAAGTTCAGGGCTGCAGCGAGCTAGAATTGCACCACTGTACTCCAGCCTAGACAACAGATTGAGACCCTATCTCAAATACACATACACATACATCACCAACCCTCACAACAACAAGATTTCCCAGTGCATCGAATTGAACGCAGCAGGATCTCAGCAATTCCTGCTCTCCCTGCACATGTAGGGCTCCCTACTCTGTTCTCGTTTATCCATAAACCTCCCTCTTGTGATTCTCAATTGCCTTTCTGTTATGGTCCATCTTCCCTTCCCTACTGGAGGCTCCACAAAGGTGGAGACTGCACTATCTGGTCTCTTAGTGGGGAGTACAATGAAAAAGATGCACTGAAAAATATTCCAAGAGATTAATAGAATAAGAATGCATTTACAGTGCATATAATTTATATATAAACAGATCCACATCTCCAAATTATTCCAAATAAGCATAAATGTCTTCCAGTAACTGAACCAAGCATCCATTTTTAAGTTAAAATGAATTCAAGTTAGACAAAATTAAAAATTCCATTCCTCAGTTGCACTGGCCACATTTGAAGAGCTCAACCACCACATGTTCCTAAGTTTAGGTTCAGATTTCAACCAAGTCTGATATTGCTGTTCAAGATATTCTTTTTATTTATTTTTAAAAATATTTGTCCTGGCTGGTCGCGGTGGCTCACGCCTGTAATCCCAGCACTTTGGGAGGCAGAGGCAGGTGGATCATGAGTTCAAGAGATAGAAACCATTCTGGCCAACATGGTGCAACCCCATCTCTACTAAAAAATACAAAAATTAGCTGGCATGGTGGCACGACACCTGTAGTCCCAGCTGCTCATGAGGCTGAGGCAGGAGAATTGCTTGAACCTGGGAGGCAGGGGTTGCAGTGAGCTGAGATTGTGCCACTGAGCTCCAACCTGGTGCCTAGTGACAGAACAAGACTCTGTCTCAAAATATGTATGTGTGTATATATATATATATTTGTCCTTTATTTCTCTTTTTATAAAATGGGATACATGTGCAGAACGTGCAGGTTTGTTACCTAGGTATACATGCGCCAAGGTGGTTTGCTGCACCTATTGACCCATCCTCTAAGTTCCCTCCCCTCATCCCCCGGCTCCAACAGGCCCTGGTGTGTGTTATTCCCCAATCTGTGTCCATGTATTCTCAATGTTCAACTCTCATTTATGAGTGAGAACATGTGGTGTTTGGTTTTCTGTTCCTTATTTGTTGAGGATGACAGCTTCCAGTTTCATCTATGTCCCTACAAAGACAGGATCTCATTCCTTTTTATGACTGCGTAGTATTCCATGGTGTATATGTATCACATTTTCTTTTTCAAGTCTATCACTGATGGGCATTTGGGCTGGTTCCATGTCTTTGCTACCATGGATAATGCTTCATTAAACATGTGTGTGCATGTGTCCTGATGGTAGAATGATTTATATTCCTTTGTGTATATATCCAGTAATATGATTGCTGGGTCAAATGATAATTCTGCTTCTAGATGCTTGAGAATCACCTTCATGGAACCTCCAGTAGGGCAGGCAAGATTGACCATACTATCTTCCACAATGGTTGAATTAATTTGCATTCCCACCAACAATGTAAAAGCACTCCTGTTTTGCTATAGCCTCACTATCATCTATTGTTTCCTGACTTTTTAATAATCGTCATTCTGACTGGTGTGAGATAGTGTCTCATTGTGGTTTTTGCTTTGCTTTTCTCTGACAACCAGTGACATTGAGCTTTTTTTCACATTTGTTGGCCATGTAAATGTCTTCATTCGAGAAGTGTCTGTTCATATCCTTTGCCCACTTTTTGATGAAATTGTTAGTTTCTGTCTTGTAAACTTGTTTAAGTTCCTTGTAGATTCTGGATATTAGACCTTTGTCAGATGGGTAGATTGCAAAGATTTTCTCCCATTCTGTAGGTTACCTGTTCATTCTGATGATAGTTTCTTTTGCTGTGCAGAAGCTCTTTAGTTTAATTACAGCCCATTTGTCAATTTTAGCTTTTATTGCCATTGCTTTTGGTGTTTTAGCCATGAAGTCTTTGCCCATCCCTGTGTCCTGAATGGTATTGCCTAGGTTTTCTTCTAGGGTTTTTATGGTTTTGGGTTTTACATTTATGTGTTGAGTTAATTTTTGTATAAAATATAAGAAGGGGGTCCAGTTTCAGTTTTCTGCATATGGCTAGTCAGTTTTCCCATCACCATTTACTGAATAGGTGATCCTTTCCCTGTTGCTTGTTTTCATCAGGTTTCTCAAAGATCTGATAGTGGTATATGTGTGGTGTTATTTATGAGTTCTCTGTTCTGCTCCATTGCTCTATATGTCTGTTTTGGTACCATGCTGTTTTGGTTACTGTAGCCTTGTAGTATAGTTTGAAATCAGGTATTGTGATGCCTCCAGCTTTGTTCTTTTTGCTTATGATTGTCTTAGCTATCCAGGGTCTTCTTTGATTCCATATGAAATTTTAAATAGTTGTTTTTCTAATTCTGTGAAGAATGTCAATGGTAGTTTGATGGGAATAGTACTGAATTGATAAATTACTTTGGGCAGTATGGCTATTTTCATGATATTGATTCTTCCTATCCATGAAGAGGGAATGTTTTCCCATTTGTTTGTGTCCTCTTTTATTTCCTCATTCAAGATATTCTTAAGTTTTAGATAAAACTACTTCTAAGAAGTGTTTTTCAAAGAAATGGTTACCCTGATGGGTCAGAGGTGAGAGATGTTTCCCTGATAACTGGATCCCTCACAAGTTTTCCCAAGGGGAGTTAATTTTCTTGGGCTTCACCCTATTTGCAATGATGATTATGTGAATTCCATGTAACCTTTTGGCATCAACCTCTAAGGTCAGAAATGAAATCTCAGCCTTCTAGTTACACTTAATAATCAATCAGGGAACCATCACCAGTCTTTTCCTTCCTTCCATATTTCTTCCTTCCTTTCCCTTTCCTCTTCCCCTTTTCCTTCCCCTTCCTTCCTTCCCTCAGTCTCACTCAGTCCCCAAGGGGGAGTGCAGTGGTGCAATCATATCCCACTTGCAGCCTCAAACACCCAGGCTCAAGCAATCCTTCCATCTCAGCTCCCAGAGTAGCTGGGACTAAAGAAGAGTACCACCACACTTGGCTAGTTTTTTATTTTTTGTTTTTGTAGAAACAGGGTCTCACTATATTTCCCAAGCTGGTTTCAAACTCCTGGCCTCAACTGATCCTCCTACCTTGTCCTCCCAAAGTGTTAGGATTTACAGGTGTGAGCCACTGCACTGGGCCCGGTTCTTTACTGAAAATGTTCCTCAAGCTCTTCAGTCTGTACTACCACTGGTAGAAATGAGTAGGATGTACTTCCTGCTTTCTATAAGGAGTCCAATAACAAAGCAAGAAAAAAATTCTCACTTGTAAGCCACCAATTGATGGCTGGCTGTATCCCCTGAGAGTTTAGCTATTTCAGTTAAGTGCTGCCTCAGCTTTCTAGATCTGCACTGTGCCATGATGGCCTCTGGTCACATGTGGCTATTGAGCACTTGAAATGTAGCCAGTGCAGCTGAGGAACTAAGTTTTAATAATTTAATTTCAAATTATTTAAATTCAAATTTTAAAACGTGTACTTTAGTTCTTGGAAAACCTTTTCGTGTATTTTTGTTAACTTGGATATGTGGTTCTGCCTTTTCATTTGTAAATTTTATGAAATCTGAATACAAATGAAGTATTTCCGACGAAAACTTAGCTCCCAGATTGAGACGTGCTGTAAGTGAAAACTACACGCTGGATTTCAAAGACTTGGTATAAAAATGTGAAATGTCTCACTAATAATTTTTTACATTGATTATACATTGAAATGATAATATTTTGAATATATAGGGATAAGAAAAACATGTTATTAAAATTGCTTTTTCCTTTTTAACATGGCTACTATAAAATTCAAAATTATATATGTAACTCACATTATATTTCTATCTGATAGCTCCATTATATATAATGTAATATATATGGCATATAATGTAACATATAACATATATAATGTGACATATATTACATTATATATAATATATATATATATAATGTAATATATATAACATATGATATAGTATAGCAGACTCCTAATCTGCTTATTTTTTTAATTCTTTCTCTTCTTTTTTTCTTTACATGCACTGGAACTTCTGATAGACATTGAATATAGGAATATTTTGGTATTGAGCAGAAAGAATCTAGAACCCTGGATTCCTGTTCCATTTCTGCCCCTAATTCCCCTGGTGCCAGTGCCTGTCTCTCTTCTTCCTGTTTTTCCCAGGCATGCCATGTGGACTCAATGAGATAATGAATGTCAGCGTGCTTTGTCAACTGGGAAGCAGTTCAGATGTTGTTGAACAAATGACAGCTGATATTTGCTGGGTTTTTTTCCCAATATCCTACACTAAATCAATTAGTTCAGCAGTGTTTATTAGTTGCCTTTAAGTGCTAGGCACTGTGCTACTGCTAGAAAAAATAAAATGCATGTATACACAGATGGTCCCTTCTGGGGATGGGGTGAAGTCTATAGGGATAGACCAAAGCCATAGGGCAGTGGGATAGGGACTACAAGAGAAGTGTGTACTAGAGAAGAGATACCAGCTTCATCTGGAAGGTTCTAGAAAAGCTTCACAAGCAGTTTCACAACCTTTCTCACTGGCACTGATTGTTTTGGGTTTTTTTGCTTGTGTGCCTGTTTGTTTATTTGGGGTTTTTAAAAGATAGGATCTTGCTCTGTTGCCTAGGATGGAGTGCAGTGGCATGACCACAGCTCACTGCAGCCTTGACCTCCTGGGCTCAAGCAGTTCTTCCACCTCAGTCTACTGAGTAGCTGGGACTACAGGCATGCACCACACCTGGCTAATTTTTTAAAAAATTTGTGTGTGTGTGTGTGTGTGTGTGTGTGTGTGTGTGTGTGTAGATTGTCCCTCACTATGTTGCTTAGGCTGGTCTTGAACTCTTGGGCTTAAGCGATCCTCCCACCTCACCCTCCCAAAATGCTGAGATAATAGGCCTGAACCACCATGCTGGGCTTTGGAGGTGATTTTTCCAGGCAAGCAAGAGAGTACAAGAGCTAGGTACAGGATGTAAAGACATAAAGCCTGACATACATAGGTTTGTGGAATCTTGCTTATGACTGTGTGTGGCTTGAGAATGCAGTAGGAGTCTGAAGAGACTATATGGGAAGAATCTACAGTGGGGCAGAAAGAGGGAACAGGCCAGGGGTGTGGGGAAGGGAGCATAAACAGGATGTGGAAGAATGGAAAGGAGCAACTCAGAAGACTTCGGATAACCATGTGTACCCCCTGGCGTTTTTTTAGAGCCCTGGCTGCAGTTAAAAACAGGTTGAAATGGGACTGAATTTGAGGAGACTGACCTCGTGCCATCGATCTGAGCTAAACATGGTCAGTTATAGAATTCATAGCTTTTGTGTTTTAATTCTAGGAATCAAATACCATCTGTATCTGTGTCTATCTTTCAGCTGCTGCCACAGTAGAATCTGTTCTCATGAATTTAACTCAGGGAGGGAGGCAGACCCAGAGTCAGAGAGCACAGTACAGGTGTGACAGTGTCAGGACGCAGAGAAGCAGAGTTTGCTGTGCGGCACACAGGAGGCACACCCAGCCAGGGCTGTATGGGATCAGGGAAGGTGGGAGGAAGGATACTGCACTGGCCCTGAGAAGACCAGTTAGTCTTAGCTAGGAAAGGGAGGCGGGACAGTTGGGAGGGGTATTCTGAGTACCACGCAAAAGCACCTTGTATAGGAAAGGGTATGCGGTTTACTGTAGCTGAAGAGCACATGAGAGCAAGGCGTGGCAAAGGGCACAGGACTGTGGCAGATTACTATTCATGAAGACAGGGTTGAATAACCTTCTGAGTGCATTGGAGTGCCTTCAACATTGCGGTAGGATCAGATTTGTGTTTCAGAGAGAAAATGAATGAGAGGGAGGAAAGCCCAGAACCGGAGTCCAGTGAAGGCATTGCTTGGATAAACCAGGGAAGCGATGAAGTACTGAAACAAGGACAGTGACGCTGAGGTGTTTCTTAAATTAACACAGACATGAATCGATGACGTTGAATGCATATCAAAATGAAAGGTTGAATTCTACCAGCCTGTAACACACACAGACAGCAACTGATCAATGTAAATACTGAGGCACAAGGGACAAGGGCCCTGCACTGCGTGGGGTTTTTGTGTGTGTTTTTTTTAACTTTTAATTTTTGTGGGTACCTGGTAGGTATACATATTTATGGGGTATATGAAATATTTTGATACAGGCATACAATGTGTAATGATCACATGAGGGTAAGTACAGTATCCATCACCTCAAGCGTTTATCCTTTTTATTACAAACAACCCATTTATGCTCTTTTAGTTATTTTTAAATGTACAATTAAATTATTATTAACTATAGCCACCCTGTTGTGCTATCAAATACCAGGTCTCATTCATTCTTTGTAGCTATTTTTTTGTACCATTAACCATCCCTCCTACCCCACTCCTCACTACCCTTCCCCGCGTCTGGAAACCATCTTTCTACTCTCTATCTCCATGAGTTCAATTGTTTTCATTTCTAGCTCACACAAATCAACGGTTTGTTTGCTTGTTTGGCGACAGGGTCTTGTTCTAGGCTGGAGTGCAGTGTGCCATAGCTTATGGCAGCCTTAAATTCCTGGACTCAAGCAATCCTCCTGCTTCAGCTTCCAAAGTAGCTTGGCTTATAGGCATTCACCACCATGCCCAGCTAATTTTTGTATTTTTAGTAGAAATGGGGTTTCACCATGTGGATCAGGCTGGTCTTGAACTCCTGACTTCAGGTGATCCACCTGCCTCAGCCTTCCAAAGTGCTGGGATTACAGGTGTGAGCCACTGTGTCCAGCGTAAAAGAAAAATTTTATGGAGACCCGATCTCACCGTTTAAGACCAGGTTGGTCTCAAACTCTTGGCCTCAAGCAATCCTCCTGCCTCAACCTCTCAACGCACTGGGATTACAGGTGTGAGGCACTGTACTCAGCCCAGTGTGTGCTTCTGATGGCTATTTTCAATTGGTATAAATGTAATTTGATATGCACATAGATATAGCATATAGCACAAACCCTAAAATAAGAGATGGATCATATAAAGCATTGAGCAAAATTGTTCTTTTTGACAGAGTAGGACTTGCTTTATTGTGATGCTACATTTTGATGGCATGAGGTGAGGAAAGGTATAAATAAATTGGTATTTTCTGTGTATATTTTACTTGCTTATATAATAATTGTGTAATATATAAGATGGTAATCCCTTGAAATTTAATTTTCTTTTGATCAGATTGAGATCCATTTTTCTCATATTAAAATATGTTTCACTGAATTCTTTTAAGGAGGGATTTCAGGTGTTCCATTCTTATCTTTAATCAAAATGTAATTTCTTCTCTATTTCAGTTAATGAATAGTAGGGACAGATTAAGAGAAGAGCTTGATTATGAAAAATTATTAATTCAAGATATGGTAAGATGATTTACATTATTTCCTAACAAATTTGAATTCAGGAATTTAATTTAACCATGAAAGTTTTATAAACTTTGTGATTGTTTCCTGTGAATGACTCATTTCACCTTTATCAAAAATCTAAGTACATGCATAATTATAAACATTTGTAAATAGCCATTTTAAAGAAAGCAGTTTGAGTAGCACAGCAATAAATATGCTTACTAGAGTCTCATGTAAGAAATAGTATTACCATTTAAAACCATGTATAAAATCTCTGCATTTTATTATGGAGATTTAAAACAACAAATATGAGAGCACAATATTTTGAAGAAATTGCTATTTTTAGTTACAAATTGCCGCAGATGATAATAAAAAGAGCCCAGCTAGATATTTTGGCATTCTGTGTTAGTCTCATAAGAAAACACTGCCTTTTTATGTTCTTTTAAGAGAACTTTCCAGACGGCTGGTCTTTCATCAGTTGACTACCCAGCCCCTGGCCCCCCCATGGCAGCCCTCCGCCCAGCTTATGGTGGCATACTTGGCTTTCAGCTGATTACCACTCGTATGTCTTTGTTACAGGAAACTGACTGTGTTTATTATAATAAAAAATAAAACACAGCTTGACTTGCGTTCTAAATGTGCTTGAAAAGAATATGATACTGTTTGGAAGAGAAAAGGTTGCTCATAGGAAATCAACACCACTTCAGATATTGAAACATTCGCTTTTTTACAGCTTGTCACACTTTGTGCCAAGTCATGACTGTTTCCCTAACTCTGTTTTGTTACTCTCAGCACCCTGTGTTTTGGGTTCCTTGTCATAGAAATGAATGCAAAACAATTCTCCTGGATTACAATAAAGCCTTCTATGAAACCAACTTGGGAATTGAGGCAACGAAAAAAATTATGGTTGGCGATTCAAAAAACCATGTGTTAACAAATATGTTATTTTGAGCCCTCGCTTTTAAATACCTGGCATATAAAAATAGTCTCCATTACTTGAGCCTACTTGGTGCATTTCTTTACCCCATCCCCACTCTCTTCTGTCATTCCTCCAGAGTCCAGGCTTTGCTTTGGAAAACAAACAACTAAATGTGCATATTGTCATTAAAATGGAAAGTGTTTTTATAGAGTGGAAAGCCAATGTTACATTGTTTGTTAGCAGCAATAGAGAAGAAATTAAACTACTCAATCAGTGAATTTGTGCCTACACTAGAAGCAGATCCCATACTCTTTGAATGACTTTGCCCCTTTATTTTAACTGTAAGCCTTTAACGGGTGCTATTGTATTGCTCACAGGGGAACCAATCACTTTTTATTTTGTGGTTTAGAAGTTTGTTGAGCCCCAGGCTTGTTGCCAAGCAGCAAGAGCCTGCACCACAAAACCCACGACAGCAGAGTCTTCAGGATGCTTAGACTAGTCTAGGAGCTCAAGATTTCAATAGAGGGAGTGGGCTTGACGTTCTTCAAGTGATCGACATTGCACACCTGCTTTGGACCCATCAGGGCCACTATTTCTCCACCTTCTCCCTCCCCTGCAAGGCATTCTGCTGTTGGCTTTCTTGTGGCTGTTTGAGCTTCCTTTGTTTCTTGCTGTCCTGTGTTTTTCCAGACTAGGATTTGTGATTGCACAGAAAAGGGAAAGTGGGAGAAGGTGGAGTTGACCGCAGTCATTTTGTGTGAAAATTTAAATACTTCCTAGCTAGAAGGGTTTTGTTACATGCTTGTCTATTCCTATTTTCTGATAACAGTTATTTTCTGACCTGTTAGAAGTATAGGGCAAAAAGTCAAAGAACCAGCAGCAAAGAGGCGCAATCAGTAAGTATATGTAAACTGGCTGGGTGTGGCAGCTCATGCCTGTAATCCCAGTGCTTTGGGAGGCTGAGATGGGAGAATAGCTTGAGCCCAAGAGTTTGAGGCTCGCCTGAGCAACATAGTGAAGCCCCATTTTTACATAAAATAAAGATTAGCCAGGCCTGATGGTGCATGCCTGTAGTCCTCCTACTCAGGAAGCTAGGGAGGATTGCTTGAGCCCAGGAGTTTAACACTGCAGAAGGCTGTGGTCATACCACTGCTTTTAGCCTGGGCAACAGAGCAAGACCTTGTCTTTAAAAAAAATTATTATGATGATAAAGAAATAAATATTTATTATATGTAAGGTACATATTATATTATATATAACATATATGTGTTAGGGAAGCAATGCTATCTAGAGTGACTGTATCCTTAGATTGGCTTTGAGCAGGCATACGAAATAATTTTGTATCTTCCTTTGATTCCTACACTAAGTGGCTTTCATTTTATCTTGAAGTTAACAAAAGAGAGCGTCTTCATCAGAAAATCACCGTGGTTGAATTCTTCTCTTCCTTCATTTCCATTTGCTTCATCCCAGTTTTCCCGGTTGCTTGGAACAGTCCAGACTGGGGATAGGAAGGAAGCACATAGGCTGCCCCATCCCCATTCTGGAGGCACAGCGCTAACACCCTAACTGGGTTCCTGAGGCCTGTATTCCCTCCGAGGGGGTGCAGTCCTGTTCTATGTCATGTGGCAGTGTTTAGCCATCCAGTTAGAAAACAGATGCTTTCAGTGCTCTGTGCAAAAGCACATTTACATGAAAGCTCTGTGAATAGTGGCTCTTTATCAAGACAAACATGACACAGGCGTGGCCCAATGTGACTGCGTCCCTGTATGCCACGGCAGGCAGAGGAGCAATTCCGCTGTTCGTGTGGTCTCTGTCTTACTATCAGTGAGTCTTTGCTCACTGGTCAGTCAAATGCAGTCTTGGACATTTGTTAGTCCTGCCTAGCCTTCGCAATCTACTTTTTTAAATAGCATTTTTAAAATATAGAGACAGGGTCTCACTATTTTGCCCAGGCTGGTCTTGAACTGCTGGACTCAAGCATCCTCCCACCTCGGCCTCCTAAAGTACTGGGATTACAGGCATGAGCCACTGCAGCCAACCCACAGTCGACTTATGAAGTTGAAGAGCTAGAAGGCAAACCTTATGAGAGGTTATCTTCGAAACACACTATTATCATGGTTGATGGTGAAAGGATGAAGATTTTGAATCTGAAGTCAGAAATATGACAAGAATTTCTGCTCTTAACACTTCCGTTCAACATCTAATTTAGGTCCTAACCAGTGCAATAATGCAGACACACAAAAATAAATAATATAATAATATCCAGATTGGAAAGGAAGAGGTAGAGCTTTTAAAATTCCCAGATGTCGTGATCATCCCTATAGGAAATCCTAACAATTCTAAAAAAAAGCTACTGGGATTCATAAGTGAATGCAGAAAGGATGCAAAGATCAAGATACAAAACTCTTGTACTTCTTACATATAAGCAATGAACAATCAAAAATTGAAATTTTAAAAAACACCAGTTATAACATCAAACAATATGAAATGCTTATGAATACAGATGATAAAATACGTGCAAAACATGTACAGTTCATAATATAAAACACAGCCAGGTGTGGTGGCTCACACCTGTAATCCCAGCACTTTGGGAGGCCGAGGCGGGTGGATCATGAGGTCAAGAGATTGAGACCATCCTGGTCAACATGGTGAAACCCCGTCTCTTCTAAAAATACAAAAAATTAGCTAAGCATGGTGGCGTGTGCCTGTAATCCCAGCTACTCAGGAGGCTGAGGCAGGAGAGTTGCCTGAACCCAGGAGGCGGAGGTTGCAGTGAGCCAAGATCGTGCCATTGCACTCCAGCCCGGGCAACAAGAGCGAAACTCCATCTCAAAAAATAATAATAATAATATAAAACACTGCTGAAATAAAGACTTAAATAGATGCAAAAATATTCCATTGTTCATGATTCAGGAGTTGCATATTATTAAACTGTCAGTTCTCTCCAGATTGATTTACGGATTCAAAAATCCCAATCAAAATTCCAGAAGAGTTTTTTGTTGTTGTTGTTGTTGAAATCAACAAGCCTATCCTAGAAATTCTTATGGTAGTATGAAGAAAGTGATTTTTAAACCATTGCAACAAAGCTTAGCTATAATACAGCCATGCGTTGCCTAACGACATTTTGGTCAACAACAAACTACATATATACAGTGGTAATACAATAAGATTATGATGCTGTATTTCTGGTGTAACTTTTCTATGTTTGAATGTCTTTAGATACACAAATACCTACCACTGTGTTATAGTTGCCTACAGTATCTAGTACAGTAACATGCCTTGCAGCTTTGTGGCCTAGGAGCGATAGGCTGTGCCCTAAAGTCTAGGTGTGTAGGGGGCTGTACACCTATATTTGTGTAAGCACACACTAATGTTTGCACATAATACAATTGCCTAATGACACATTTCTCAGAATGTACCTCCAATGTTAAGCCATTCATGACTGTTTTAGGCTTGAGTTCAAACCCATTGAAACCAACTAAATATAGCTCTTCATGGGCAACAGTAACTACCCTCTCAGACTGCAAGATGTCATTGGACAGCCCTGCTTGCTCTTGAGTTCTGCTTTCTTGATAGGTGACAGAGAATTTTGCAAATCTGTTGTGCTTGTTGTTCAGATGTCAATGAGATTCATGGTTAGATGTGTTTCTCATCATTATTTAACTTCAAGTAGGATTCGTTGTAATTAGAATCACTGGCATTACTCATAAATTCATATTATGAAAAAATTTTAATATTATGAAAACATGCACTAATGATACATTTTTTGATACAGTAACTTCTATGCCTAGAAATTAAAATTGATTTTTTTCTTTTTTTCTTTTTTTTTTTTTTTTTGAGATGGAGTTTCGCTCTTGTTACCCAGGCTGGAGTGCAATGGTGCAATCTCAGCTCACCACAACCTCCGCCTCCTGGGTTCAGGCAATTCTCCTGCCTCAGCCTCCTGAGTAGCTGGGATTACAGGCATGCGCCACCATGCCCAGCTTATTTTTTGTATTTTTAGTAGAGACGGGGTTTCACCATGTTGACCAGGATGGTCTCGATATCTTGACCTAGTGATCCACCCGCCTCGGCCTCCCAAAGTGCTGGGATTACAGGCTTGAGCCACCGCGCCCAGCCAAAATTGATTTTTTTTTTCTAAAGCCAGGGTCTCACCCTGTTGCCTAGGTTGGAGTGCAGTGGCACAATCACAGCTCACTGTAACCTCAAACTCCTGGGCTCAAGTGATTCTCCTGCCTCAGCTACCTGAGTAGCTGGGACTATAGGTACACACCACTACATCCAAGTACTTTTAATTTTTTGTTTTTATTTTTATTTACTTATTTATTATTTTTTTAAAGTCACAATCTCAGGCCCAGTATTTTTTAATTTTTTATAGAGATTGGGGTCTTGCTATGTTGCTCAGGCTGGTCTTGAATGCCTGGCTTCAAGCAATCCTCCCACTTTGGCCTCCCAAAGTGTTGGTATTACAGGCGTAAGCCACTGCACCCAGATTTAAAATTCATTTTTAAAGTAAAATTTTGTTCACTACATTATTGAAGTTTAGCTATTAAATTATCTTAAATTTCTCAGGCTAGCTTATGTTAATAATAAGACCTAGTATTTGTAGCTATTATAGTAATGTATGAAATTACCACCTCATAAGCAAATAATGCATGTTTTCCTATTATCTCTGTTGTACTTAATGCAAAGAATAGATGCTAATGACTTTAGGTATTTGCAATTTTATATATTTCTGTTCACTTTTTTATAAAAGCTCTTTTTCTGGATACAAGTTTGTTTTCTCTTTGATATTATGAATTGTATTCCCATAATAGTTTTGGCAGATAAATGGTTTAAAATGTTTCCATTGGTTACAGAAGTTTTATAGAAAATTGTCTTTTTTAATCTTTGCAGATAATAACCAATGATATGGGTCTTCCATTTTACAGATTAATAAACAGAAAGAGGACAAGGAAATGAGGAAAAAGTATGGCAGCTTAAGTGTCAAGGTTCGTATTTAAGTTTTCTCTCTCTCGTTTCTCTTTTGTTTTGTGCTTCTCTTATTTTGGCATCTGGTTTGTCAAATCTGTGTAGCATACTGAGGTTTTTCATTTTCCAATGTCTGAATTTGAAATAGAAAGTTCTTGAAAGTGAGCAAGGCCAGGAGCAGTGGCTCACGCCTAAAATCCTAGTACTTTGGGAGGCCGAGGCAGGAGGATTGCTTGAGTCCAGGAGTTCAAGACCAGCCTGGGCAACATAGCAAGACTCTGTCTCTTTTAAAAAATAAAGTGAGGTAATAAGTGTGAATGGGAGATCAGGAGCTGACTGTTGAGAATGGGGAGCAGACAGTGAAATCAGAAGCCAAAAAGCCAACAAGTGAGGCATCAGGAAGAGTGTGCCCTGCTGTCCTCATCCTCCAGCTCCAGGCTCTGCATGTTCCTGCACCTTCCTTCCTACTCTCAATTTCCCTACCTTCTTCCCACCTAGATATAAGCTTTGAGCTGACACTCCACCCCTTTTCACATAGACCCCACTGTTCCAGGGGCTTCCAAAGGGCATTGACTGCTGGTGTGTTCTTCTTAGGACATGAGGATTACAGGCAGGGAGTGGAGGAATAAGCCCAGCCTGCCAATCAAATCCTGCCAGGGGAGACTGTGGGCCTGGGAGCAAAAACAGATCCATGTGTTCTAGGGCTAAAAACCTCAACTCTGCAATTGCAGCTCAAGGGAGGGGAAGAGTGTGAAAAAAAGGGACACAAATCCAAGAAACAAAATGAGAAAAACAAAGTTGGTTCTTTTTTTGTGTGGCAGGCTACAAGGTCAGCCAAGGGGAGAGAAGCCTCTTTGTCCCCATGGCCCAAGTCTCCACCAAGCACCACAGCTTCAAGGCCACATTCTGCATCCATGAGTGTATTGTCTGCTGGGACCAAGAAAGCTAAGACTCCAAAGAAAGCTTTAAAGGAAGAGCAACCTGTGGTAAGAACTGCTTCCTTTACCACATCCTGTCCACCTTCCTCTGCACACGGGCTTATGTCTCTTTAGCCCTATGCATGAGGCCTGCAGTCTAAGCACACCTGATTCTCACCCCTGAGCTAGGGCTCCAGCTGCCTATTTCTAAGCCAACATGTCAGGGTGAGCCTCCTTCACTTTCCCAAGATGAAGCCATCAAGCCATCAGTTTCCCCAACCAGGCAGTTGATTTAGCTGAGTGACTAAGCCTCAGTGGGTCTCTATTTAATTATCAACATAGAGAAGCTACATCCCAAGCACTTTCTAGGGTATACAGTCTCAAACTCATTACTGCCCAGTGTCTATTAGAAGCTCACTGAAGATTCCCAGAAGGATACACAGGTATCCAGTCCATTTGCACATGCAGGATTCCTCAACCTATAACTGGAAGGAATCACACTCTCAGAGACATGCACGCATAAACTCTGTGCTGGTTGCTCTCCCTTTCTACCTTTCTCCAGATCATCACAACTCTTTTTACAGGATCTAGGGTGGCACCCTTGATCTACATAAAAAGGAGGTGCTAAGAAGTAGCTGTGGGACACTCAGCTCCCTGTGGGCTAATTGTGTGAATATTTGTGAACTGCTCACTACATTATACAATACCTCCCCTCATCATGACCCTGTAGAAAGCCTTCTGCACTTAGTTATAAGGATAGTTGTATTTCTATAACTCTTGGTTGATCTGTGGACACAGTGAATTGTCTAAGTAGTCAAGGCTCCTTTTCCATGTTGACTTTTAGAAGGCGTGGAACCCAATTGGTGACACATATGGCCAGTGTCTAGTGCTCCACACAGAGTCTCTCTATTGCATATTTTGCTCTCACAAACTTTGTCCTGTTCCTATGTGTTCCCATGGGCTTCCTTCTTGTTCAACACGGGGCAGAATTTGCATTTCTAGAGCACGGAGGAGTGCAGCAGAATTGTACACGCCATGTGCATCCTTGCTCCAAAAAGGGGGAAGGCAACATGCAGGCCTCATGTGCCCACTCGCCAGGAGATGGACCACTCCTCACATCCAGAGAGCAGGAGGGGGCAGGTAGGGCAAGGCCAGGCCTGTTGTTTTAGTGGAAGTCACTCTACTGGGAAGAGAAAAAGCATTCTCCTCTGTAAGCATTTCCACTTTGCAGAAAGTTAGGAAGTGTAGACTATTGGAAGTCAGTGTAATTTCCCAAGGGAAAAAACTGACACTGGGAGAAGAGGGTAAATTTTGCATAGAAGTGACCAGTGACTAGGTTCTAGAAGTAAGATTTTTATAACCCAGAGTTTGGGAAGTATTTTTTTGGAACACACACACACACACACACACACACACACACTGAAAACTGGCCTGCTGTGCAATGCCGCATGATAACCTGGTTGGGAAGACTGGCCACACTGATTGAGGGGCCCGCGGCTGGGTAGCTGCCATGAAATCGGTCATGTGTCAGGGGTCTGTGGTCTGAGGTTCTGAGCTGATGGCTGGGAGGACTGCAGAGTCCAGTCAGTGACTGGGGCAGAGCAGCTGAGCCTCTCGTCCTGAGGTCACAGCAGCAGGGGGCAGCTGCAGCAGAAGGTGCCCGGTCCCCACAGCAACCCCTAGGCTGGAACTAAATCCTAGAATTCCAGCTTGGAAGCTCCAGTGTTTTTACAGATAGAAGTTGAGCTTCCAAAGTCACAGCCGCAAGAAACAGAGATTTTGCCCGTTGTCCCCCACCAAAAATACAAAATAAAGGACAAAGACTGACAAATCTCTGAGAAGGTGTCATCTCAACAGGCTTTTCTCTTAGTGTCACAGTCTTTCCCTGTATCTGTCATGATTGTGGCCTGTGTATCTCCAAAGCTTACCAGCACATTTTGTCAGCTGGGGGCGTCTCTGAAGTTAATATGTAACAATAAGTAAAAATTAGACTGGGGGAGGGCAGAGATTACTTAAACCCGGTTTACATATTTATATGAATTGGCTCAATTTGAAAATGAAGTATGTTTTTCTAGTCCACTGTTATTACTGTCACTTGCACTTTGTTAATAATAATCCTATTGTTCTAAGTGTTCCCTCCTATCCCCTTCCACTGGGGTTTATTCTTCACTGTATATATACACATTCTAGCTATAATTTTCCTGCTCCTCTCTTAAATATTTTCCTCCATGGAGGTAGCTGGACCTCTTAAAAATTGTCTCTAAAGGGTTTTATAATATTTAGCACGTGTAAATGATCACGTGGAGGGCTCGCTACAGGAACTTTGCACATCAGTCATTTAACGTCTCTAATTAATCATACTTATTTTTTGAAATCTGTGTCATTCGGTGGGAACAGCACACGTGCTCCACAGCGGAGCACACGGTGAGAAACTGAGTGTTTAGCCAGTCTGCAAAACACGATATGAACATTAGCTGTCTGATTTCTATTAATGAACGATTTCACAACATAAAATGTGTATTTGTACAGTGCTTTTACATAAAGTTTGTTTTTTGATATGTGCAAAACATATCAGATACTCAAGTTTCTCATATCAAGGTTAAAATGGATTCTCAGGTTTTCCTCTCCCCACCCCGAGTAGTTAATTATGGTTGCACCCAATAAAAGCTTCCATGGAGGACTTCTGAGCTTCCATGGGGTAACCTGGTCTATACGGATGAACATATGGTGCCTGCTTTGATCGCAGAAAGAATCAGGGCCTGTCTGTGTGGGAAATGGGACATGGGAGAAAGTCAATCATGTTCCCATTCTTAGAGTTCTCTCAATACAAAGCAATTTGTGCAGAAACAGACTTCAATAAAAACTCTAGAATTTTTCTTAACACGAAATGTTAGGTAAAATAATATTGCAATCATTTTGCAGTTATGACCATAGTTACCTTGCCAGCTAGAGATTTTTAAAAAATAGTTATTATGAGATATAGAATTACTACTATAGGTATATAATATTATAGGCTAGATGGATGGAGAAAAAAAATCTTTTCTTCTGAAATTTACTATTCTTCTCCTTTATACAATTCTTATTTGGTTAAATTGCACATGAAGTTTAAGATAAACTCTATTAAAGAAGAAAACAGTATAATCTACTTATGGTTTCCTTCTTCCATTCCTTTTTCCCTGGCAGCAGGCAGTTAAGAGTTCTGCAGAGCAGTGTGGGAAAACCAGCACTTTACCCGTTGTTTATCCGGCAATGCTAGGCAATGCGGGAATACAGAGACAGGGCAGTCCTGCACATGCACGCACATGGTCTTCAGAGGTTGTCAAAGGATATTTACTGTATTTTGATAGATTATGGTGACACGAAAGAATTTTCCTTATCATACTTGATCTTTGTTTTATAACATGGATAACCCTAAAATGTAGACATCATTGAAAACCATACTTTTCATTTATCACCAAAATGAATTCATCTTTAGATTCTGCCCTCAGAGAGCGAAATTGAAAATGTGAGTAATATCCTATTTCAAATCCAGCTGAAAGGTGGCTTTTATCTTCTGCCTTATTTTATTCTGGGTTGATGATAAATTAAATAAATACTTTCAGTATATTTGGAACAGAAAATATTCTAGTGTAAATAGCATTTCATATTTGTGGGACACATGAAAAGATGTTGTCAAAACCCAAATGAAAAGGGGTTTATGCTTGTGCTCTTATTTATTCTGTTGAGAAACACGGCATTTTGTTTGTGGAGCTCACTATGTTTGAGTGTAACTAAAATGAGGACTGAAGATTTTGCTGTGAAATCAGGAATAGATAAATTCAAGGAATAGATAAATTTGGATGATGTCCTCATTCTTCCCTATGCTTGCTCAGTCACTGGGACAGATGTGAGGTCCTGACCACAAATGATAGTGAGTTGGTGGTAGCAGAAGTGTCATCCTTGACATTCAGAAGCCCACAGACAGCGCAGTTACCCCCCACTGCATGGTGTTGCTTAATTCCGTTTGCTGGGGCTTCAGCTGTGGCTTTCTCTCCAGTTCCCAGTGGGAGTCGAGGCCGGTCCTGAACACCGGGTCATTTGGCCAGACTCCCGACACTACCCAGACGTGGGTCTTTTCCCCGGAAGACTGAGCATCTGACATGCTGTCACTCATCCTGACTGCCATTGTCACATCTGCCAGTGCTGCTGCCTGGTGCTGTGCACGGTCATAGCACTGCTCCAATACCGGTGCTCACTAGAGTCAAGCCGGAGGTGGCTGTACCCCTCTAGACACTGGCAGTGGACTGTTGGCCACTGTCTTTCTATTTAGCCTTGCCAGGCTTGTCAGTTTCTCCAATCCTGGTCTCTCCAGATCCCAACTTCCTCCTCAAACCCTGGGAATAAGTCTATGTGAGATAACACATCAATTTTGTTTTCTTTAAGAACTTATTTTCATGAAGGATGGTTCTTAAACCTTTTTTCATTCAATACTTTAACTTTCTTTTTCTCAATACAGTCTCTGCTTGTTCATCATGAAAACTGAACCTATTAAAGTTCTTTGTTTTCTCTTACTGATTCATCTATTACTATTTCTTCCTGTTTTCGTATCTGAACAACCTTAGATAACCAGTGACATCTCACCGAATTTGATATACTGCTCACCAAATCTAGAGTTCTTAAGTTGTTAGCTTATGCAGCCTAGTTAGGGAATAAAGGTACACTTTTATTCTAGGCTTTTAAAAAATCTTTAAAACAGTCCAGGGGTGTCTGCTCACACCTGTAACCCCAACATTTTGGGAGACTGAGGCGGAAGGATCACTTGAGGCCAGGAGTTTGAGACCAGCCTGGGCAACATAGTGAGACCCCACCTCTACAAATATTTTTTAAAAGTACCCAAGTGTGTTAGTGTGTGCCTGTTGCCCTAGCTATTTGGGGGACTGAGGTGAGAGGATTGTTTGAGCCCAGGAGTTCAAGGCTGCAGTGAGCTATGATGCCACCACTGCACTCCAGGCTGGGCAACATAACTAGATTCTGTTTCAAAACAAACAACAACAACAAAAATACATCTTAAAAACGGTTTGAGGATCTTC